GACGAGGGAGGCGACACGCGGAGTAGCGGACACGGTAGGGTGTGCCGTAGGCGATTGGGGCGCGAGCGGTGGCCGGGATGCGCGGGGCCTGGGCAGCGAGGACGCGGAGAGCGTTGGGCGCGCAAGTGGGGACGACGCGGGCAACATCCTAGGCCGAGTAGGCGTAGGAGTGATGGACGACAGCGCACACACGCACGAGGAGTTAGGCAGCAGCAAGGCGCGCACGATGGCGTGCGATTGGCGAGCAGACGACCCATGCCGTGCGGGACTAGGAGAAGCTGAGGCGGTGGATGACGCGTGCGAGGCGCGCGCGCGCGAAGCCGCGCGTGACAAGGAGTAAGGGCCGAAGGTCGGCGCACGCACAAAGGCGGTTAAGGTTTGGGCGTGCGCGCATTAAGGCGGCATTAAGGCGGCCGAAATATTTTGGGGCATGAGTTTGGAATTGTTTGGAGTGCAAGCCAAGCAAGATCAAGATCTAGTCAATTTAGGACTCTAGATATTTAGTTTCCTTCTTGCACAATAGTATCTAGAATGTTTAGGTTATTTAATATTTTATTGCTTTAATATGTTTCCTAGGTAGATTAGAATTAGTCATAGTTAGGATCTATAAATAGGGATGTTCCCTCATTGTTTTTGAAGGAGTCGAAGAAGTGAATAGAAAAGGAACGTTTGTTCAAACCGTGTGTTAGGGTTCGTGAGAATTCGATCATGCAACCGAATTGGTGAGGCTAAGACCCAAGCCAGTTCAACGATTTAGAGAGGCTAAGACCCGATCTATTTCGAGAGTGTAGCGAGGCTAATACCCGAGTGAACTCAAGTATCGTGAGAGAGTTAGGCTAATAACCGAGTCGATCACACTATCGTCGAGAGCAAGGCCGTGGCGAAGCCGTGATCGAGACAAGTCGAGGGAACGCAACACCCGATCCTTCATCACAGCACACGCGCGGGCAGCAGGCCTGCCAGGGGCAACGCGCGGGCTGACTTGGCCAGCAAGAAATTGGGACTTCTTGGAGTCTTTTTGAGCTGAAATTCCTCTAGATTATTCTTCCCAACTTTGAGTGCAAGTGAAGGCACAAGATCTCCTAGATATTTAGTTTCCTTATTGCTTTAGAATATCTAGATTGTTTAGGGGGTGATTGTTTATGGATTCAACTAGTTTTTATTTAGTTAGGTTTTTAACTATAGTTAGTTTTGAAAAAAGGTGGTATGGTTATTTGTTAGTGGATATATTAAAATAATATTTAAATATAATAAATAAAGTTGATTTGATATAAAGTATAAGAAAAATGATTGGAAGTGATAGTTAGTTAAAATTATGTGAGTGGATGGATAGTGAATTAAAGTTGATGTGATGTGTATGAATGATAGGTTGATATTATTTAATTATATTAATAATATAGGAGATAGTGAGGTTGGGTTAAAGTTGAGTTAAGTTTGAGTTTTGATTGATTTTTTTACTGTTCAAATCATAAACAATCGCCCCCTTAGGATTCTTAATATTTTATTGCTTTATTAGTTCCCTAGGTAGAATAGACTTAGATCTATTTGGTGCCTATATAAAGGCCCTTCCCCTATGTTATTTTTATTAATTCAATCATCCAAGAAGTCAATAGAAATCTAGAACTTTGTTCTTCCAACTTTGCTTTAGTCTTTTCACCAGAATACTATTGCAATTTTATCGTTTCAATAGGCGCGGTTGTGGCTTGAGAAACACTATCGGCGATTCAAGGCGCGGATTCGCGGCTTTTCGGCAGTCGAAACACACGATCCTCATCATTGGTGCTTTCATTGAGAGGTGTTGATCGTGTGTTTTTCTTCTACCCCATTCCCTTTCTTTTTCTCTTTCTTTTTTCGTCCCCCCCTATCAAAAAACAAAAAAAAAAATGGT